ACCAGCCCCGAGACCACCAAATAAGTTCCCCCCCCAGCCGGGAGGCAAAGTGGGGCGAGGGAAAGCAGCCGTGACCGCAGCGAACTCCCTCACCAAGACCCCTGGGAAAGCAGCCCCGGCTGAGAGCTCCAGCAGCGACTCCGACACGGACATCGACCAGGGGGCTGCAAACCACAAAGCAGGTGGGTTTGCACTGGGAATCTGCCGTGCCCAGGAGGAAAGCCGTGCTGGTGACACTGGGGCAGGCCCCCTTCTCCACCGCAGGGCCCGGCAGCATGGGGTGCTGCTGCCATCTGCTGGCTTCCCCTGCCCATTGCGCGGCCCTCATATCAACACCCCTCCTGTGCTGCCTGCGCCCTGCCCTCGCCTCTTCAGCTCCTGCTTCAACGGCCATCATTGGTGCCGTTCAGGGCAGTGCGTAGGGCTCTCCCTACAACCTGCTCCTGCGGCACTGGTGTGCTGCGGGGGAACCTGCAGACACGGCCTGAGGAACGTCCGCTGTCCAGCGCCGGCATTCGAGCCTTCCCTTGGTCGTTCTGGGCTGCGTAGCGTGTCTGGGGAGCAGAGGAGGGGAAGCGAGCGGGAAGACCTCCGGAGAAACAAAATGTCCTGCAGTTTCCCTATTGCCCTGCAGTGTGGGCCAGTTGTGAAGCGCTGAGCGGGAACCTGCTCCCGCTCTGACCCCGAGATCGGCTCTGGCTGCGGGCTCTGGCCCGCTGTGGAGTCTCAAATGGGTCTGTTGGCTCTTGGGCACATCGTTACGTCGTGCTGAGGTCAGAGCTGTGTATAGGTCTGAGAAGGCCCGGGTGCTGGGCGATAGGCCACTGGTGATGGTTAAACGTGGTGCTGTGCTACCCTCTCTGCCACGGGAAGTCCCTGGCTTACAGGGAGTGGAGTCCCGGGGAAGGACCGCTCTGATCCGCCCTCACGCGTCTGGTGCTACGGTTTCCTCTAGTCCCTGTTCTCATGGATGTGGCCAAGGCTGTTGTCACCCACTTCCCTTGCCAGGTTTGATCTCGGGCGTCTGTGCTGTAGGGAAGGCCAGGAGGCTTCGCTTTTGAGGGAGACCCCGAGGCTCCTCTTCCAACTCAAGCGCTTTCCATCCTCCGGTAGCTCTGTGGTCTGTGTAACGAGTGTTCCCTGAGTTGTCTTCTCTCTTGTTGTTTCTGCAGAAAACAACCCCCCTCCGGGGCAGGAATCCACAGGAGCCTCCAACAAAGAGAAGGTGGCAGGAAAAGCGGAGCCAGGCCTAGCTAACCTCAAATCTTCCCCAGCCAAGAAAGCCCTGGCCGTGAAGGAGAATGATGTGGGAGCAAAAGCGGCTCAGGTGACCCCGACATCACATGCACTCCTCTCCATCCCCCAGTCGGAAGAGTCGAGCTCGGGGAGCGAATCCGAGGTCACCACTGCTGCCAAAGTTCCTGCAGTGCAAACACTGGAAGGGTCGGAAGAGAAGAAGAACAAGAAAAAGGAGAAAAAGAAGGAAAAGAAGAAATGCCCCTCGGCGGCAGAGAAGGCTGCGAAAGCATCCAAGTGCAAAGACAAAGAGAATAAGAAGCAGAAATTGTCTCAGAAGCGGAAACGGCCAGGAGAGGATGGGGCAGTTGGGCAGCCCAAGGAGAAGAAGCGGAAAGGGCAGGCTGCCGAAGAAGCACCCAAAAAGAAAAAGAGGAGAGCATCTGGGGACCCGGAGAAGTTGCCAGGCAGCAAGGAAAAGAAAAAATCCGCTAAAAGTAAGCATCCCTCGCTTGGGGCTGACGCGCAGCAGGTCCTTGCAGCCGACGCGTGTTCAGCCTCTGCTGCGGGGCCTTGTAAGTAGTACCCGCTCTCCCGTTAGCTTCCCGCTCGGCTGCTTCCCTCCAGCCCACCCAGAGCCGCTGCCAGGCTTCTCGCACCCCGCTCAGGTGCATTTCTTACGCCAGGCCACGTCGCAGGGCTCTCCCGCTCCCCGTCCTGCATCCGGCACGGCAGG